CTGTTCAACGATCCTGTGTTACTCATTGGGAACTTTTTTGATAGTTGCTGTTGTTACTGTATAAGTTAGAATAATTGTGCAATTGCTAGATGCTAGTTATTACCACTCCTTTTTCTTCCTTTGGTGTATTCTCTAGAAACCCTAATTCAGTATTTTTGTTTTGGGCATCTGAAGTGTTAATTTTTCTCCAAACTTAGCTGCAACATTTAAAAATTCTATGACAGCATGTAAAAATGTCAATTTCTGGGGTTTCTCTTAAAATGGGAAAATTTGGCAACATTGGCCCGTAATACTTACATGGCAACAGTCTGGAGCTGGGTTATGGGTGCCTCCTTGAGGGAGATTGCATATGTTTGCCTCAGTCTTCACCCAGGCTTCCTCATGTGTTTATGTCATCTCTATGGCCCCACAGACATTTTGAGGCCTCTCTCTGACCCTGCGTTTGCCTCTAGAGAGCCTGGCTTTTAGGAAGAGTGTCTTCCAAGAGGCAAATACAGTGACACTTGAGCCCCTTAGATAGCTTAGGTGTGAAGTCTTAGGCTTCTCTCCTTGTGGATTTGGAATGCGACCTTGTTAGTGACTTAATGACCAAATTAGGACTTATTTTTTGCCTGTGTGTGTGAGTATTTGAATTCTGTCATGGTAAGGTATCTTTATTGATAAAGCGGTTTCTTCTAAGATGTGGCAGGTGGACTCTTTTTCCTTTAGACTTGTGGATGGTGATAGATGAAAAAAGCTCTGTTGCTCTGTAGTAAGCTTGCTCAAGTGCAGAAGTTATATTTAGCTTCTGCAATAGGAGTCTGCAAAACTATGTGAGAGGGAAAAGGCTTGCTAACTAGAATCATGCTTTAAACCTTTACAAGTAGTTCTACAGCAGTTGCTAAGACCAGGACAACATTTAATTTTTTATTTTTCGGTTGACAGATGTTAAGAATGCTTGACACTTGCTCACTTGCACCTGAGTTAAATTCAGTTGTAGGGGTAGCCAGAGTGTTGCTCTTTGTAGAACTGACAGTTGGTAAAGGAATCCAACGTGTCCTCCTTACCTGTAGTAAATATGCTTACTAGAGTTTGAACATATAATTATTGCTCAGTACCCAGCTCATAGTAGGCATTCCATCAGATTTTGTTGAATGGACAAATATATGAGGAGAGATATGCTTTAGATCAGGGGTCAGCAAACTATACTGTCTGTCTGGCCCGTGGCCTGCTTTGTTCAACCTGGGAACTAAGAATGGTTTTTACATTTTTAAAAAATGATAGTCAAAGAATATTCAAAGATAATATTCAAAGAATATGTGACAGAGCCCTTGTGGCCCACAAAACCTAAAATGTTTATTATCTGACTGTCTTACTTTACCATTCCCTTCGTTGGATGATGGAGCGCTAGCTCCACCCCTCTTCATTTATCGTGTTATATATGCCTAAATACTCACTGTAGATGGCGGTGTCGTGGTGATAACATGTTTGTTACCTGCTACATGGGGCCGAGTGATTGCCAGACACGTGAAGGCTTTTAATTGGTAGCAAAGGAATTGCTGATGATGAATATTTAATAAAATCCACTATTTAATAAAAAACACTGACTTTGTGTTTAAAAGTCTTCAAGAACTGCTTTGAATTGTCATTGAGTCTTTGGTACTCTATGATGTCAATAAATTTTAGAAGTGGAAGAAAACCTCAAAATTCTCTTGTCCAGCCATTCATGAATAAACTCAAGTAGGGAGAGGAAATAAAGGACTTCTCAAAATGAAACCACTTTCCCAGACTGCCTTATTTGATGATAAACAACAATAACAACAACAACAAAAAACAGCTTTTGAGACCAGGATTACTGAAGTAGGAGTTTAGTGAGTCTTAGCCCCTGGCGGGGACAGTGAAAAATCTTACCTAGGGCAAGTTATTAATTAACCTCTGCACTCTTCAGTGTTGGCATCTGCTCTGGTGATGATAATAGTGCCTACCTCATAAAGTGAAGAGGAATAAATGAGTTTATATTTGTAAAGCCTTTAAAAAAGTGCCTGGCACTAACATAAGAATTCTATTAACGTTTGTTAAATAAGGAGACAGGGCTAAAGAATAATGGTCAGTTTTATTAATAGGCATAAAGTGTAAGGAGCTCATTCTTGGGGTTAAGTATGGCTGTTAAAATGTGTATCTTTAGGCAGTGACTGATCCTTAGTAAAACGCTAGTGATATTTTTGGGTTTGTGTGTGTGTGTGTGTGTGATATTTTTGAAACGTAGTCTCCTTGATAATAAGTACTCCCTGTCCCATTGTTACTTAATCAGATATATGAGATTTTAACATCTGAATTATTCAGCTCATGTAGATCTTTAAGCACTTAATTCATTCGTAGTTTAAAATCAGTTTGAATAGCAAATTCTCATAATATCTTTTCAGTCTTCCCATTTAAAAGCTAAATGCTATATTGAGAACTGGAGGGGTAAGGTGTACCTTTGGCATGTTTTCTGATCTCAAATAGAATCAACTACTTGGTAGTATAGTCCAGAGAAAACGAACGAAATCTGTTGTTTTAATTAGGATTCTAAAATTCTCAGTTGAGACTGGTGACTTACAAGTGAAATACCTGTATTACTTTATGAAGTCTCCAAGGAATATACCTCTAGTAGGCTGGCATTTAGATGGAATGTTTTTATTTGAAAGCTTAAGAAATTTTACTTGCATTTTGTTTTTAATAGGGTAACATTATTTTCTTACAGTTTGCAGTGTTGATGTGGGTATTTACCTATGTTGGTGCCTTGTTCAATGGTCTGACACTACTGATTTTGGGTAAGTCTACAAAAGCAATGGAATGAAAAATTGCTTTAAAAGATTGTGTGCAAGGAACTTAAGAGATTTTTAGTGGAGAATATCCTTATTCATAGGAGAAATAGGATGTATGTTTGCGGTTGTGGTCTCTTTAAAGTGCTGATGCTATTTATGGAAATGCCACTTTAGTTCCTGAAGACTGCTCCAGCTAGCAGTGATAAATCAGATCAAGGGTGGCCTTATCTGATGGTACAGTCATAAATCTACCTAACCAGGGGCACCTGTATTGGATAACGTCTGTTTGACATGAATTGAAGCCGAATGGTTTTCGCAGCCTCCCTTGGGTAACATCAGTTTGATGGCTTTTTAGTGTTTGTTCTTTAAATCATGCTTGTCTGTTTTAAAGGTTGTGTATTTGCTTTTTCAGCTCTGATTTCACTCTTCAGCGTTCCTGTTATTTATGAACGGCATCAGGTAATTTCCTAACTGTAGGTTTCAGAACACAGAATTCACTTTATTATGTGGAATTTACAAATGTATCAGTGCCAGTTTCCCAAGTCTTATAAAAATGAGAACTGTGGTGGTTGCTTACGCCTTAATTTGTTGGAGCATAGTAATAACCAGCTTCTTCAGCAACGGTAATTTTCTAATCTTTTATACCTCTTTCAGGCGCAGATAGATCATTACCTAGGACTTGCAAATAAGAATGTTAAAGATGCTATGGCTAAGTAAGTGTTTAAAATCTGTTTTTTGTTCTACTAAGGTACACTGGACTTTGAGGACAGTGCAGTATTTTCATATTTCAAACATAGTAGCAAATCCGTCAGCTCCAAAGTGCAAAAGAATTGCCAAAAGATTTTTTTCTAACATTCAGATAATTGATTTCTACGTTTACTGTGTGTATTTAAGGCTTTAAATCTAATACATGAGGCCAAGGTAGCAAAATTATAGATTGTAGTTTGACACATAGGATTTCATTTCTTGTATAAGCTGAGTAATATTTAAGTAGTTCTTGAAGGACAGCATTTTAAGAAAGAGAAAATACATAAATTTTAAAATATTTACATTGACCTTTCCCCCTCCTTTTCATTTGTAGAATCCAAGCAAAAATCCCTGGATTGAAACGCAAAGCTGAATGAAAAAAACCAGAAATAATTAACAGTAGGAGTTTATCTTTAAAGGGGATGTTCATTTGATTACATTGGGGGGAGGGTCAGGGAAGACTGAAACCTTGACATTGCAGTTTCACAGATCTTTATTTTGAGCAATGCAGTGTCTGAGGAAAATTTACCTGTCTTGACTGCCATGTGTTCATTATCTTAAGTATTGTAAGCTGCTATGTATGGATTTAAACCGTAATCATATTTGTTTTTCCTATATGAGGCACTGGTGAATAAACAAAGATCTGAGAAAGCTGTATATTATACTTTGTTGCAAGTAATCTTGCTGTATTTTGGGAATTGCAGAGAAAGTGGAACTGAAAAAAAAAAAACCTTTTTCACAGTTTGTGTACTGTGTATGGTCCGTGTAGATTGATGCAGAGTTTCTGAAATGAAATGTTTAGACGAGATCATACCAGTAAAGCAGGTGTGAAAAAGCTTGCCTTTCTGGTATGTTCTAGGTGTATTGTGAATTTTACTGTTAATTGCCAATATAAGTAAATATAGATTATATATATATATCTATATATAGTGTTTCACAAAGCTTAGACCTTTACCCTTCAGCTGCCCTACAGTGCTTGATATTTCAGTCATTGGTTATGTGTGTAGTTTCAAATACATGAGCAGAAAAACTATTTCTAGGAGCACTGCCCTCTGTTTTCATCGTGAAACGATGCCATGCACATAGAATTCAACATATAAATTTCATCGCACAGACTTACCATAGTTAATTTTGTCACAAACTCTGAATCTAATGCTTCCAAAAATGTTGTTTGCAAATATCGAACATTGTTATGCAAGAAATTATGAAGATTTATACAATTGTGGTTTAAGCTGTACTGAACTAAATCTGTGGAATGCCTTGTGAACTGTAAAAGCGAAGTAGCAATAAAGCTTATAGACTTAAAGTGTGTGTGGTATTTTTGTTCCATGAAACTTCAAGTTAAAAATGCACACAAAGCGGGTAGACTGCCTCAAGCAGTGAGTGGTAGCTTGTACTCTTAGAAAAGATTTTCAACTCTGTGGCTGTGCTTGCTTTGAAAACATTAAATTTGACACATAACCAAAATGTCTTTAAATTTTGTATTTTTATACTTTGATAATTGAAAATAAATTCATGCACCAATATTTTAACATAGAATACAGTGCAAGATCTATGAACATACATAAAATCATACCATATAAATGTTTACTAATATGATTTAAGACGTTTTCTTGACACAGACACTATTGCTCTTTAAATATAGTTGTACATGTCATCATTGTTCAGTTCTTTCACTTGGTTATTTCAATGCAAGACTGAATCAGTATGAAAGGTCAGTGGTACAGTATAGGCAGACGTGGTTATCACTCAGCATCACCAGTCACATGGTTACGGAAAACAATTAGGACTGCACAGGGACTCTAACTGTGGGCTCAACAACCTATCAGTGGATTAATGTAAGGCATTAATAAATTGGCATATAAAAATAGCTTAATGAATGATTTGATCCATTTAGAATGCTGAAGCACTTCTGTGGTAAATATTAATCTATTTAATTGAAAGTGCTTCATTTCACCTTTTCTCTAAGCTGACATCTACAAATAGCCAGTAACTCAAGATCCAGAATTTTAGTTCACCGACCAGGACTCATTGGTGTATATATATATATGTGCTCAGAGTCACCGGCCCCTCACCTTTAGGTGTGCCATCAGCCCCCTCCTGTAGTCAGTGGTTGGCCAAGTATAAGGTGTGATTGAGGTGGTTTAGAGACGTCTTCTGGTTAATACTGTCCAAGTCACATTCTCTTATCTAACCAACTCCGAGGAACACTAAGCGAGATTTTATTTTATAATCTTGATTTCTCAAATATTGCTCAGGCTTAGTTTGTTCTTCAGAGAATATTTTTTATCCAGACTTGACCTATATAGTTCACCAGAAGCAAACTAATGGTGTCAAGCAAACCCCACTCCGGGAGCGGTAAACCTCAAGTCATTTCATCTACTGCCGTCTTAGATTTAACGAGATAAATTAGCTCATCCTCCTGGACCAGGTTGAGCTTTTTTTTTTTTGCTTATATTTTGTAGTAGAGGTTTGTTTTTATTTCAGTTCTATTCTGGATTTTGTGAGTTTGGCACTAAACATAATGAAAACCCATTCTGTTCCTTTGCTCCTGAATTCATCTTCGTTGCTCATCTTCCTATAGCCACTATTTCCCAAGCAAGTAAATGATGTCTTTCATTAAGGAAGCCTTGACATAAAACACATGACATGGCTGACAGACCAGGAATCTGCTAAGAGTCCTGTAGCCTTCCTCAGTTTTGAAGTTTTAGCACCATATGTAGAAAGATAATTTGTGGGAGGTGAGACCGCAGCCCACACAACTGGAAACTTTCAAAGGCACTTAATGGATATAAAACTCTGCAAATGAAACGTTAAAAAATTAAGTTTCTCAACTTGTTTGTACATGGCTCATTTGGTTTTGAAAGCTAAACGTGAAGAACAGAGGCTGTCAATAGTTCTAGTACTTCGCTGCATCTGACTTAAGCTGTCTTGTTCAATTGACTTATTTGTAAAAATGAACATTTTTAAAGTATATAGAAACATAATAGCAAAACATCTTTTGTAAAAGTTTTGATGCAAATTAAAAGCTACATATCGGTTAGGGTAACTGAGGCTTTAAATTTTGTCAGTGGGCTACATTATCAGACAGGATTTTGTCAATGCCATTAGTACGTATAGTTTTTAGTCTCGGGAACAGAGGCAAATGGTCTTAACATTTCAGAACTGACCTTCCTTCTTGGCATCACAGTTTTGGAGACCCCCGAGTCTGGGAGCAGTCTCACCCCTTCAGCACCCGCTTGTGCAGCCTGCAGCGTTGGGGGCGTTCCCCAGCAGCCAGTGGCGAGGAGATGCCCTGTCACTGCCTCCGCAGGTGCTGGCTGGGAGCAGCAGCAGCAACAAAGAGGCTTCTGCCATTTACAGACACCGCCACACAAATACACTGAAAAAGCAGAGCGAACAGTCATTTTACATGGCTGGACATATTTTTGTCAAGTGACAAAAAACAATCTTGCCAAGTGCTCCAGAGTCAAGTTCAGGTGATCTACTGACCATACTGATGTCAATTTTTGCTACCAATTAAAGACCTAGTGTCTTTTTAAAAGGTCTGTTGTCTTTTGTTGTGTTTGGCTCTTTTCAGCAGGCTGGGTGTCTGCGCTGAATGTGAGGACTTGGCAGTTTGACTTTATACTCTCTCTCTCGGCAGTTACTATTGAAAGGGTTTTATCAACTCCACTCGAGTAGGAGAGCCCTTTCTAGTGTTCAGCTCAGAGCCAGGGATCACAACAGCTCCCATGGCCACAAAGGCCTAGGGGCCCTGCATTTTAAAGGTTACTCTTCAAAAGTCACCTCATATCTCCTGCACTGGGGTGGCCAGTTCACTTATGTTTCTTATTTGATGGCTTGTTCACCATTTGGCCGGTGTTGCTTTGGATGAGTGTTTATACTCCACAGGGAGCTGCTGTCAGTACTATCTCAAGGGCTCTAAGTGCCAGCAGCAGTTGGCAATGCAGCTTGGAAATGGGTGCTCCCATGCAGGCCATCAGCATCCTTTGGGGCCGTTTTCTTGGTAAATTCTCTATGGTGCCTCAATGAGACCACCAAAAATTATCTGGAGTGCATGCACTTCTTCATCCCCCACCCCAAGAATTTTGCTTAAGCTGGACAGAAACCAATATTTATGTTAAAGACCTTCAACTACATTAGGTGTGGAGAAGCTGAATGACTTGGAGTGACCCTGTCCTGGTCCTCCGCACTCCAAACGGGAAGTGCCCTTGGTGGAGGGTGAGGAGAAAGCTGCCGTAGAAATGCTGAAGAGACTGATGTCAGCTCTAGAGCAGGCTGGTCGGGGTGCTTCCCAAACACTGGAAGACCAGTCACACCTCACGGAACAATGTGCGTGTTTTATACTGAGCAGAGGTTAAGGTCAAAAGCAGCCCTGGTTCCGGAGTCCAAATAGCTGGTTGAGGTTCTCCTGCTGCTACTAAGTAGCACTGGGCCTAATGGCTTCACCCCTCATCTGATGTGTAAAATTGGGTAACACTTGCCCTGCTTGTTTCTCAGGGTGACTGAGGCTCAGTATTATTTTGAAACCTCTCGGTTGTGGATTAATCGTCCATCTTAAGAACTCTGGTGATCAGTTCAAAGTTAAGAGTTAAAAGACCCATGGTTCAATGTTATTCTAACCTCCTGATTATATGTGATGATGACACCATGAATTCTTACTGAAATTGGCCATCTTGGGCCTCTCCCCCACCTGCTCCTCCGCTCAGTAAAGCTCAGAGCAGCTGTCACATGCCCTAGGCTTCTCGCCAGTCCCTGGGCAGTGGAGACAGGCCCATCAGGATTTGGGTTGGGAGTCACCAGACTAAATAACCTTATACTTGTGAAGTTCTCATAAGACTCACTGAATTTCCTATTTCCTATTCCCTCAGCCTCTCCCCATCCCCCGACCCACAGGACACAGGAGGTGGGAAAGGGGAGGGTGTGAGGTCCGGGTCTGGGGAACTGGCGCCAGATTAATGAGGTTGGTACCTGCAGTCGTCTCCTCCAGCGCTAACCACATACTTGTCATCATGAGAGAAACGGATGTTCGTCACGTGAGCTGAGTGACCAAAGTAACGCTTATGTTTGGCCTGTGAGCAAAAGTGAATGGAGACAGCTAAGAAGTCCTACTCCCAGCGACGACAGACCACTTCCCCCTCAGGACTCAAATCCCTCTTCCCAGAACCTTCCTTCACTCATGAGATTCCCATTTGGTCTGCATATCTGTCAGCCAGCCTTTCACTGCTTTCCTGTCTCATTCTTGCCCCACTTGTGGCCATTTTGTCCACCCTCCAACCTCCCTTCCCCTGGCTTCCAGGACTATCCCTCCAGAGAGAGATGAGAAGGTTAGGGGTTGCCACATCTCCACAGGGCTGGAACAAGATTCATTTTGTTCTGGATTCTAAATGGCCATCGAGACGTGGCCACTGTGTCCCAGAGTGCAGAAGCACAGGGAGCCTGGAGGTGGTGCAGCGAGGTCACTGCAAGGAAGACTCACAAATTTTTCTGTGCATGGAAAGTCAAAGAGCTTCACAAGCCCAAAGTCATCTCCTGTGACAATGTTCAGGCCAGCATGGGTCACACATGCGCAGTTGACATCAGCTTTGTCTGCATTTCGCGGCCAGATGCCAATGACTTCATCTCCCAGAATGCTGTTCCAACAGGAAGAGGTATAGAAGGAGATGTGTAAGAAGGCTTTTTGCAGTCAGGCATCAACTCCCAGGGATATGAGGGAGAGAGGGGTATTTTACATAATTCAGCATACCCATAAGGCGCTTTTGACACTAAGCATCTGTCCCCTCTCCCTGTGTACACTTGTCCCAGTTCTCAACTGTTCTCTTCTGCCCTGGTCAATTCACCCCGAAAAGAAAAGTTACCTTTAACTCTCCATCTTCCCTACAGTCCTGTGTGTGTGTTTGAGAGAAGAGTGCGGACTCCTCTTCCCTTGAATTGGCAAGGCATTGTTTCTTAGCCGGCTAATGGGCAGTTCCAGCCCTCCTATTCTTCCCTGGTGGTTGGAGGCCTCAAAGTGCACCCCATGGTGCTTGGCCAAGAGCTGGGAAATGGTTTCCCTTTGTTTGCTGGATGGGGTTCGGGGCTAGTAGGATGGATTACACAAAAAGAGAGACTTTGCATTTCAAAAGCCCAGGTCAGATCAAAGCCAGTGGCCCAAACTAGTAGCAAGAAGCCACCTATCTCAATCCCCAAAGACAAGACAGCTCTATCTCTGAGCTGCTTCACATCCCAGCTACAAACAGGGGCTGAGTCTAGGACCAGGACTCCCTTGGGACCTTTTCCTCAAGAAGTGTCTTCCTCCAGTCACCTTGTCCAGGAGGCCCAGGTGATCTTCTCAATGACCATGGTTTCGGTTACCTGCTTCCCCAGGGGAACCTCATGTACCTGGCGCTTGTAGGCTCCTGTTGACACCTGCATAGTAGAAGAAAAACCATGTTCATCATCTTACTTTCTAGTCCCATGGTCTCCCCTTCTCATGTGCTATTTCCCAGAACACTGGCCCGGCCTCTGCTTCCCCGGGACTTCTCACCAAATCCAAGTTCAGCTTATTACTTTCCAAAACCCTGAGACAGTGGCTGTTTAAGTGTAGTTTCTCACCAGCAGCATCAGAATCATCTGGATACTTGTTAGAAATGCACATGCTTGGCCCCACCCCAGACCTATAAATCAGACAGGGGTTGGTGGGGAGCTGGTCTGGCAATCTGTTTTCACAAAGCCTCCAGGTGATTCTGATGCTCACTCAAGTTTGGGAATCCCTGTTCTCAGAGAACCAAGTCTTTTGGTGCAGAAGTAAGACTAGTTTTCTCGTGGACAACAGCTTATACAAATGATTCCGAAGCATCTAGGACCGACTCTTGCTTCTCTGGGGAGCTTCTAGGGGAAACCAACCATTTTTCAGAAAATTGCTGCTGCCTACCTCTCCAGCCCCCTCTCTCCCTACTGGTGCCTCTACCCCGGCCTCCCCAGATTTTCCTGCTGTTCATGGAATGAGCTGAGATCTTTCTCACCTCAGGCTTTCCCACAGATGGCCTGGAACAATGTTCCCACCCCTTCGTTGGCTAACTCCTCCACATCCTACAGACCTGAGCTTAAACACCACTTGTGCAGAGGAAGTGAATCTAAATTCAGCACTGTTAAATGCTCCGGCAGCAGCCAGTACTTTTCCTTCTCAGCACATAATCACAATTTGTAATTGTATATATACTTTGTGATGATCGGTTTAATGCTTGTCTTCTCCATTACAGGGCAAGCTCCAGGAGGGTAGGGACCAGGACCATTTTGTCCATGCAAAAGTCACCATAGTGCCTGATTTATTAAATATTTGATGAATGGATGCGTCTTCTCTCCTTTTACAGTGACTACCCAACTCCAGGCCAGCCACAAAGGCATAACACTTGTTCAGAGTGCTGGGGGAATTGTTCTGTCTTTAGCTGTAAGTCCCAAGAGGGGGACCCTCTCTGTCCCATCCGTGTCAGTCCCCCTGGGACCCAGTGATGCACTCTCGCTCCAGGCCCACCGTCTGGAGTCCAGGCCCCAAGTGTGAAGGGGCCACACTGCCCAGTAGGATTTGGGATTAAAATGAGTAAGTATAAGAAGTGACACGGACTTGGGTGCAGCCCCAGAGAACTAGAAGATGGGAAGTTTGGAAGGGGAAGTAGTGAGAGGAAGGTTACAGATGACTGGGGTGTGTGTTTCCTGCTTTTCTTAATGAAGAGTAACTATTTTAAATTCTATTTCTTCACCTTTCTTAAATTCTTAAAGTCTCTGTTTCTTCATTTATGACACAGGAAAAGTAACAGTACTTAAAGGGTTTCTGTGAAGAGTAAGTAAATTAGCACTTTGCCTGGTACATAGTAAGCACTCAATTTAAGCCCTTATTATACTATTATTGGTTGCCCCAGATCATCAGTAAAGCCGAAGCGTACCTGGATGTATTTGCCATCTGCAGAAAAATCCATCTGAATGACAAAGCTTGGGATGTCTTTGCAGTAGCCAATGCGATTCAGGCTTGTGCCCTGAGTGAGGTCATAGAAGTCAACTGTGTGTTCAGAAGAACCAATGGCTAAGAATCTGCTGTCTGGGCTGATTCTAGAAAAAGCAATGCAAGAGTATGGTCCATGAGGAAGACTGTTTGAGGCTGGTCAAGCACGAGGTCTGCTCTGGGATGGGCTTCCCAGGCTTAAGGCAATGAGATCTCACTTCGAGACTCACATGTGGTTAGCGTCTACAGTCTAAGGGATTCGACAATTTCTCTGGATCAAATCCTCAGGAAGGAAGGAAAGAGATGTATACAGCCTTTTGTAGAATGGCATTTTACAAGAAGTTTTCACCACACTCTTGTGGAAATCAGCAAAGGCATGTCTGAGAATGTGTGAGACGGTCTCCTTTCACAGTCGGGTCATTGAAAGGGACCCTCTCACAACTAAATTCTTCATGGCTGAATTCCAGCCATGGCCCTTTTGGAATGGGAACCACTCGGAAGGAGGATGTCCACCTTTCTCCCTGCCCAGATCACTGCTGTGTACCTGATATCTTGGATAGCGGATTTCCGGTCTCTTTTTTTCCCCCAAACTTTCAGGCTGTTCACCAACAAGATGACAAACTCTCCATTCTTCATGCCAATGGCCACCATCTCTCCGTCAGGGCTGTAGGCTGCACACCTGGCCGCATGGCCCAGATTCACCTTGTTTAGCAGCTTCTACATTGATAACAAGTAATATCACCTGAGCCCTTGCCTGCCTCACACGGTCTCCTGCCCCTGGCCAGAACAACCAGGTTGCCTCCGCTGCCACTGTTGGCCCCCATGCCACTTCTTACAGTTTCTGCTCCTAAGTAGCTAAAGTAGGCTTTGATTAGAGCAGCTTGAGAAACTCCATGTTTTAGGGCAAGCGTTGGCTAACTTTTTTCTATAAACAGTTTGGAAGTAAATATTTTAGGCCTGGGGGTCCATATGGTGTCTTGCTACCACTCGACTCTGCCATTATAGCACATAAGCAGCCACAAACACTACATAAATGAAACAGCACGCCTTAATTTGTAGAAACAGGTAGCAGGCTGGCCTTGACCCGCCAGCCATAGATTGCTGACCTGTTGTTCAGGGGAAGGAGTTTGAGCTTCAGCATCTGTTAGTTTAAATCCTGAATCCTGCCTCTTACTGGCTGGGTGTGTCTGGGTAAGTTACTTCTCCATTCTCCCATTTGAAAAAAAAATGATATTAATATTGGTCTTGCAAGGTAGTTGTAAGCATTAGTGAAATGTACATGAAGCATCTGATATGTAGTAGGAATTCAATAAATGATAGCTGTTAATAATAAACATAACTATAAACTATCTTGAGAATAATAACCAGTCTTTTGCATGTCTGTTCTTTGATCTATACACTGAAGATATGACTGAAATGTTCACTAGCCATTCTGTAATGAAGCCAAGTATTTTAATTATTAGAAACTTAAATACTTGTTTTAATATTAGATAAGGCTTGGTAACAATCTTATTTTCCCCAGATCATTCCTTACTATTTTAGATTTTTACTCCAGATGAATTTTTTTAAATTACTTTTTGAATTTTTACATTGTTTTTCTGAACCTTAAGAGAAACCTTTTGGGAAATTTGGGGAACATTTGACATTTTAAATCATTTTTAGTCTTCCTATCCAGAGAAGACATGACTTCTCTCTTTATTTTTTAGGTTTTGTGGGATCTTTCATGACATGAGAATAATCATTCTCAATTAGAGTATTCCTGCTATAGATACTCACAGATGGATATATGGCTAACGGATATATAGACTGGGTGTGTGTGAATGGGACTCCTTTTATCTCACTTTCTAACTGAATTGCTGACCTGCAGCTGATCTCTTATCTAGCCCCATCCCCCACCTCTGGCCTGACCTCTCCTCACCACTCTGTGAGCCCCATGTGTGGGCATCAGAGCCTGGGCAGAGTCAGCCCCTCACCTTGTCAGCCAGGTCCCAGATGCGAGCTGTGCCGTCGTTGCTGGCAGAGATGAAGATGTCCTTGGAGGGGTGTGTGGCCAAGCCCCAAATCTCCCCTTCCATGTGTCCATCAATCAGGATGTTGGAAGCAGCATTTTTTTCACCAACTTCAATAATTTCTCCATCTTTGGTTCCCACTAAGATTTTTCCCTGTTGTAATCAAAACACTATTAGAAAAAAGATAAATAGTACATCGTCCCACTTTTATGAAGTAACTAGCATACTCAGATTCATGGAGAGAGCAGATGGTGGTTGGTGGGAAGTTAGTGGGAAGAGGAGTGAGTGTTTAATGGGTACAGTTTCAGTTCTGCAAGATGAAAAAAGTTCTGCTAGTGGATGGTGGTGATGGCTGCGCAACAGTGTGAATGCACTAGATACAATGGAATTGTATACTTATACATGATTAAAATGGCAAAAGTTATGGTACCTATATTTTGCCACAATTTAAAATAATTTTCTTTAAAAACCACTGTCAGAACAACTTGGGAAAGTGCCTTCACTGGCATTGGTATTAAAACATGTTGAGCTGAGAGGTGTTTTGCTTTTAACGACTGAGTTGCCCCTCCTGAAGCCACCTGCTTCCACATGCTCGCTTTGCCTCTTCTCCATCCACCACCTGGGGTGGGAGCTTCAGTGAAGAATTCTCCATCACCCAGCCTTTGCTAGAACATCCCAGTGACCGCAGGCTCACCGCAGATCAGGGCAGTCAATTTCTATTCCTGGACAGCTCACACTCTTCCAAAGTGTTTGCTGACACTGAACAAAAATCCACCTCTGATGACTTCAAGGTTCTGGGCCTAGTTCTGCCTTCATGTCCCACACATCTAATTACCCTTCCAGATGACTGTCATTTGTTCGAATTTTCCAATTTTGAACCATGCGGACTACAAGTCAGGTTTGCCTTTTTTATGGAGAGCATCTAGAAAGCAAATTCTTAGACTGATACCAATTCAAAAGCATAAGCACAAGGTATTAGAAAGAAGAGATTTGTTTTCAAGTATACCAGAATCTCCTAGGGAATTAAGAAAAAAAGAAAAGAAAAAAAAGGACAACACACGTCAAGGCCCCAGCCCTAAAATTCTGATTTGCGAGCTATGGGTGGGAGCCCGGACATTCATATTTTCTAAAAAACTCTGTGGTTGTTTTAGATATTCAGCCAAGGTATGCCTTGAAAACCAACAGATTTGAGTCAGACAATTTGGTGGCCCTTACTCTCCCTCTTATTGGCGGTGTAGCCTTGAGCATGGACACATTTAGTATCTCCGAACCAATAATATCTATACTAATAGTAGCTAACATCTGAATGTGGCCGTGTGCCAGGCATGATGAAAGACACTGTACTTAATAACTGTGTGCTAGGCACAGAAAGGTTATGTAGCAGACACAAGGTCACACACCCAGTTCTACTGGGTGAGTCACAGTCTGCACCCAGGGCTGTCTGACTCTGCTAAGCTACCTCCCCACTACAGTGTACATCACACCTCGGAGGCTTGTTTTAAGGGTTCTGCAACCCAGCACAGGGAAGGTGCCTGGCTAGTGTGAAAATGATGTAGGTAGAGCCATTTTGGAATGGAGTCAGGGCTGCCAGTCCGGAGGAACTCCCTTGCACGTCTTGTTCCTTGAATCTTTTGACTGGGCCAGCCCTTTAGACTGGACTAAAGCCAACTCTGTTTTACAAACACTTGTTTGTAAAGCCAGTAGGCAAGTAGATGTCTGGCCACAAGGACTGCGATTGTGGACTGTCTGAAGACAGAATCGGTAACCAGTCATGTATAGCCAAGAACAGCTCAGCTTGTTACCAATAGGAATTTTTTTTCTTTTTATGCAATTATTCCTTTTTTTCCCTCATAAAAACCCCTTGCTTTCACCCTGTAATCGGGACACTATTTGGGTTTGCCTAAATTTGTGCTGCCCGAATTACAATTCTTTGATGCTAAATAAATATTTGTTGCCTCTCATATCACCTTTTTAATTTTAGGTTAACTCCTGCTGACCTCTCACTCGGCCCCCTCCCCCGTCCCCAGCCCCAAGGGGGCCAGCCTGGGGGAGGCCGGCCACGCTCACTTTGCCACGGCACACGGAGCGCACGCACTCCACCAGCTGTCCTGTCTCCAGCTGGAAGGCCCTGCAGCGCTTCATCTCCTGGTCCCATAACTTTACAGCACCTCCTTCTTTGGTCCTAAAAAAGGTCAAGATGAACTTAGCATGTTAGCCCTCACCCTCGGACCTCTCCATGACCCTCCCACCCCTCTCTCATCTCACCCAGGTCACAGCCACCCGGGGCCCAGGGGGGCCCCTTTCTTAGGCCGTGCTGACAAGCAATCATGGCCCCTTGAACTTGCACATTTCCTAAAATGCCTTAGAATGCCACAGTCTTAAGAGGAAAGAGAATTGTAATCTAGAAAATCAAAGTTTTTATCAGGTCAAACGAGAGGAGATATGTTTCTCCTGGTTTTCTGCTTCATTCTCACAACTTCTCTGTCCCCACTGGAACCTCTCTCTCCTGTTCTCACATCTCCTCCCTCTTTTCTCCCAAAGAGCTACCAAGAGTAACACTTTATGAACAGCAAAGTCACTTGGGTCTGTTCAAGAAAACCTCTTGGGTTTTTAAGCTACCATTAAATAACCTCTCTCCTTCTCTGACTCTTACTTCTGCAGGTTTTGACCTAGGGCCCTCTTGGAGAGATGGCAGACTGATCTCCCTGATGCAGAAAAGATAGGAGACTGAAAGTCTGCATTTTCTCCAAGTAGTAGATGCTTCTGTCAGTCTCTCCCAAGACTATTGGGGGAAAAAAAAAAAAAAGTTTCCAGAGGAGCTTTGGCTTACGGCCGCTCTTTTCCGCCTGTCACTATGAGTCCATCCCGGAGGGTCGTATACATTGTGAAGACGGGGCCTGTGTGAGCCTTGGCCACCAGCCGGACGAGGAAGTGGTCCTTCCACACATAGACGTCGCCGTTGATGGCACCGGTGAAAGTGAGGTTATTCTGTAAACAAAGGGACAACTTCTACACCAGGACATTCACAGCAGCTCTCGGAGGGGCCCCCTTCCAGACACCCATTCTTCTGTTAAGGACCAGAGCCAGAGAAACATAAACACGCACTCAAATTGACCTTCCATGCTAAGGTAAGGCAAAAGAATTTGCAGAAAACCACAAATGGCATATAATAATCACCTGGCTTTGAAATTCAGTCTATTGAATTCGTTTGGGGCTTTTGACTTCCTGCATTAAATGTAGCTCTGCATTTAAGTGAACTTCCTTTCTGTGAGCAAGTCTAGCCTGAGAAGAAACTTCCTGTGTGTGTCTAGGTGGTGGATAAATCCATGGATAGAGAACCAAGAGTTGGCTTTGTTCCAAAAAGTTCCCAGGGATCTCATGTTGGCTGAGGGCACCCTATATCCTTCTCAAGGGTGTCATTTGGGGAAATTTGTGGTGCACAAGGGCTGGGAAGAAAAGGGATGCTCTCCAGTGGTAGAAATGATCCCTATATTCTCTGACTGTCTAATTCAGGCCTAATATGCTTCAAAATCACCTGCCTCTGGAATGAACCTTCTGCCCTAAGTGGGGCCCTATCTTTTCTGATTAACATTTTGAGGTAGAAAAAAAAATGGAAGAAAATATAGTCGACTGACCCATCTGTACTAAGGCAAGGGAATAGTGGTTGCAAATAAGCCAACAAAGGCGATAATGTGGCTTCCTTGTTTGCAGCTTCTTGGCCATGCTCATCCTCCACCCCCTGCCCACCCAGCCATGCCCAGAGACTCAGGGACCCCTCTCAGGAGCTTTCACTGGAACTCACAGCACCGAAGGCCACGGAGAGCATCGTCTGCATCTTGGCAGCCTCCATGGACCCGATGACTCCCTTCTTGTAAAGCAGGGCACTGCCTGCCAGGGTCCAGAACTTCATATGTTTGACCCCAACAGACACAAACTGCGTGTCCGAATCTGGGCGAAATTCCACCACAAATATTCGCTCCAGGTGGCCCCCTCGGCTGGCAACCTTGGCACCTGTGTGGGGGAGAGTCCCGTGAGGTGGCCCTCCTGAACCCCTGGGACCAGGCACAGAGCTCCAGCACAGGCCAGTTCTCAATCCCAGCAAGCCCAGGGCACACTTCAGTGTCCTTTCTTCTTCAACAGCAGCCTCCCTCCTTCAGACACTGCTCCCAAGGTGGGAAAGAAGCTGTGTGTCTGAGAAATTTCCAGAACAGCAAGTGCTGCTAATATAATCCCTGACGCCACTCTGCCCCACTCCCACAAGCCACATCCAGCATCTGTGGGAAAGAATGGCCCAGGAGATGGAAGCTTCCAGATATGAGAAAAGGGCAAAATGGCTTACGGGCATTCCCCATCCCCCAACATCACATGATTCACCCCAAAAGGAAGACAAACCCTCCCCTAGGAGTGTCACTGGAGACCCACATTCCGTTAGTCTTTACTTCTCCCCAAGAGTCTGTGCTTTTATTTTCTTTATTAAAAAAGTTCCCCATACTTATCCCCTGAGTTTTTTTCTTTTTTTCTCCTTAGTTTTATTTGTCTTCATCAAATCTCAACTCCACCATTTATTTGTAGAACAACTTGGGACAACCTCTCAGTGCCTCAGTTTCCTCATTTGTAAACTGAGAATAATAGTTCCCATTTTTGAAAGTATTGTACAGAAAGAATTGGTACAAGTGAAGCCCTTTAGAACAGTGCCTGATGCAGTGAGTGTTCTGTAAGCGTTAACTGTTATTATTATCACTCTTTTAGCTTCTTCTTAAATCTCTTGGCTTCTAGTCTTTTAGCTTGTATTTTAAACCTCATCTATTTTTATCTCATCAGCCCTTGAGTTTTTTTATTTCCAAGTTCTATTTTCTAACTTACTGTTTTAGTTCCAATTTCCTCTTAATTATCTCCTTTCCTTATATTATTCATACAAATACATATTTTTCTTCCCCTCTTCCTCTTACATTTATTTGTCTATATAGTGGCTCTCTGGCAGAGTAGGGCCAGGGCCAGCCAGCAGACACTCCCTACTGGAATTCCTTCCTAGGGACGGTTGGGGAGACCTGCAGGTTACCTCTCAGGTGGTTACTGTCTCTCTGCAGATACCTCACTACCTCAGGCTCAGAGGTTTTAAAACCTATGGTCCCCAAAGATACCATAAACTAAGTTAAGAGATAAACAATAGACTGGGAGGAAATATTTGCAAAACTTTTAAGAAACAATTAACATTAAGAATTAGTAAAGAATTACAAATCATAAAAAAAGACAAACAATCCTTCCACCCCAGTAGAAAAAGGATTTGAAACTGAATTACAGAAGAAGAAAGATATAAGCAGCCAATAAAGAGATGGAAAGAGGATCAATCTCAGGAGTCACTGGGGAAATGCAAAATCAAACAGTAAGATGCATATTTCTTCTAAGCCGCTATTTATTTTTCTCTTGTTTTAATCTCATGAACACTTCTAATTCTTGTGATGCCTATCTCTCCCTCTGTGCATTGGTTTCTGGCTTGTACGGAACAAATTTCATACAAGTATCTAGGACCTGACAACATGCATTTTATATAAGCTGCTCAATTTTTTACTCCATTTTATTTTGTATATTCTTACCTACATACACACAGATACACACATAACCTAGAGTTCCACAAATAAGGAATAAATAATATACTCTCTAATAATAACGAAAATGTACATATATCTCCCCAAAATGGATTATCTGTAAGCAGATTTGAAGTGAGGGGAAAACCACACACAATCATCTCAGGATTGATTTAAATATTATCACTGACTCAGAATCCTCTGTACAGACCCAAGCACTTGCTTCCAACAAAGACAATGGGAGAAAGTTACCAAGAGAAGGCTTCTCTTTTTCCTGGGAGCTTGTATAAAAGTCCTGGCTCCACCAGTTATCCCTCAGGAGATCAGAAGGGGCTCCAGGTGAGCAAGAGTCTGTGCTGGAGCAGGGGCAGAGCAGGACTGCCCAGAGGGACAGATGAGGGAAGTGAGGGGAGTGAGCCTGAACTGTGTATAGGGGCTAACGTGATAACTTTCTTCAAGGAACTAGGAACAGACTTGGTCTTGGCCACCACGGAGAGCAGAGTTAGTGACTTAGTAGAAAGGCATGATGAAGCGACTCAGGCCCTCACAGAAGAAAGGGCTTTATGAGAGCTTTCCAAGAGTGAGCGGGCTGCCTTGTGAAATGATGAGGGCCACGTCCTTGAAAGTATTAATCAGAGGATGGAAACCAGCCTGTTGGAAAGGCTCCTGGGGGAATATGTCCATGAGAGGGGTCCTGACTGGCAGGAAGACTTCTCTAGTCCTTTCAACTCGAAGAGGCTACGAGTCTATCATTTAAGATGCTCAAGTTCTCATCTGGGGCTGAGTCTATTTAATCAGCTGGCCACTTGACATTACGAGAAATGAACCTGCATTCCCAAGATATAGATTATGGGGCCATTTGGACACAATATACTAATGAATAAGAAAATGAGAAATGGATGGAATAGGATGAGTGAGTCTTATCATAAAAGTCCGCAGGTCCTCAACCTTCTTTTCTCATATGGGAACTCAGGAGAGATTGGAAATTTCCTCCCACTGTGCTCATCTCTTTACAGCCCCCCTCACAACCCTCTCCCATGGGAAGATGCTGAGATAACGGGACTCTAGAAGCCCTGGATTGGAGACGTGCTACCTCTATGTGTGCCTGGCTCAGCATGCCCCAGATACAGGCTGCCTGACTAGAGACAGACCTCATTAATGTCCTCACTAATTGGATCTGCTTTGCCAGCCTGAGAATATGCTCAGAAGATTGCACATCTTTGATTCTAAGATACACAAATTTAGTAGCAGCGTGTGTGTGTGTGTGCGCGCGTGCGTGTGTGTGCGTGTGCGTGCATGTGTGTTGGGGAGGGCAAGAAAGAAAATCTGCTAAATTAAATGTAAATCTTGATTATAAGAAGAATCTCCATTTCGAAGAAGTTAAAGTATAAAAAAAAAAGTTTCTGAGACTGTAGAGGTAAAACCCTGTCCCTAGTTTTTGTAATAAGGTGCAAGTCTTCCCAGAATCCAGGGGTCACCAGAAGAAACACCGAGGGTAAGAAAGTTTTGGTTGGAAGGTTGTTAGGACAGAAATGGAGGTGGCTGCTGCTTTCTGTTTGAGGATGAAGGCTGCCAGCATTGGGGCAATTTCCCAAAGTGTCCAAAGACCCTTCACTAACCAACACAGGACTTCCCTGGCCAGCCCCTCCTGACCATGGATGGGATCCTGAGATGCAGTGGCACCCAATGAGCAGCTTCTCCGGGACCCCAGGATCTTCTGCTGACCTGGCCCATGCCACAAGCGAGCCCCCTGGAGGAACAGAAAGCACAGCTCCTTTTACCTTCCTGCCAACGCCAGACGGTGATGGTGTGCTCAGGGTCCACGCCCACCGACACCAGCAGCCTTCCCGTTGCACTGAAGTTGATGTAATTCACCCCCTTGGAGTGGAAGCACCGCAGCATGGAGAGGGTGTGTTTGGTCATGGCATCCCAGATGTGGATGGAAGGTGTTGTTCCTGAACATGGGAGGCATGGCAAAAAACTCAGGCTGCAGAACAGTGGAGCCAAGGCAATGCTAACATTGGGCTAAAAGCCTTTTTAAGGCAAATGTTCAGGGGCCTTACAGTTACTGGGCCTAAAAGACCTAATGCCTGACCTGGCCAGAGGGGAAAGACAACAGCAAACATCTGCTGTGCTTTTAGAGACAGACATTTATGCTCAACACACAGACTTGTGGAGTTTATACAAAGGAAACTGATGAGGTCAATGATTTGTATCTGCAATTCAGCCAGATACAGTCAGCAAACATGATGCATCAACATGATTTTGCTGTGTAGATTCAAACTACTCACGACGGAACAGCCTTACCTGGGGTGTCTGTAACATCACCTGCATTGGGTGGGCAATGGCAATGAGGAAGCATCAAGGGAAAACAACAGCTAAAATAAGTCATGTTTGGAATAGTGAAGCACTCAACACCAGCATTAGAAAGTTTCAAATTAAATTTAAAAATGGACATGGAATCAATGAAAACAAGCAAGAAGATATGTTTGTAAAAACTGCCTTTGAAATGACAATGTTAAAAAAAACACTTTTCACAAATGTGAATCAGTTCACATTTGTCATTGGCAGTTTCCTAGGGTACAGAAGAGCCAGGCACACATATTGCAATCTACCCTGGCCAAGCACAACCACCAGGCTTCAGATGTGGCTCCTCGTTTGACACCTGGGGACTGAAAAATTATTCACAGGTCCACAGAGCTGGGGGTCATCCATTTATTTGGAATATTAAGCTCTGGTCTGACTTTATAGTTACTCAGAATCACTGATCACTGGATGTCGACTCAAGCAACACAGATACATTCAAGGCTCAAAAAATCAACAGCAACATCAGTGAGAAAGGGTGGATGTCAGTGACCCTTCCTCTCCCAATAATTGCTAATAAGTCAACATCCCTGCTCAGCTGGGAGAACTACAGTGGCGACAGGACCCTCCTACCTATCTGGCTGGTGGCCACCACGTTTCTGTACTTGGGGTGCTGGTTCACTGTGAGGCAGAGGATGTCATCCGTGTGCTCCAGGTAGAAGCTCTGGCTCCCTGGGAGAGAGACGGGGACGGTTAGTGGGGGAGCCTGAAGACCTCGGGGCAATCTCAAAGCTTCGTGTGGAGTCTTTGGAAATGGCCTGTAAAAAAGAGAGCTTACACCCCAAATTCTCACTTCAGTATCATCCTTGGGGAGATGGGAGATCACTTTTTACATTTACATATTCTGTTCTCGGCCTGGAAGAAGAGCTGGAGTCTGTTATCTAATACACACACGCTCCATTCAATCCTTCCTGCTGTTCTATGTGGGTCCGGAGCACAATCCAAACGCAAAAGCTTCCAGAGTCCAGAAAGATGAAGTTTAACATTTCCTCCTCCCCTTGGCCCAGGACTGATGGCTTCTCAATGTCCACCTCTGAGCAGGGTTGGGCAGGGGCCTGGAGATGACACTTTACTGAGCAAAATGGCACCATGTACTCATTGGACAAGGAAGACAGTGAAATAGGAAAACACAGATGGTCCCTGACTTATGATGGATCAACTTATGGTTTTTCAACTTTACATGTGAAAGCAATATGCATTCAGTAAAAACCATACTTCAAATTTTGGACTTCGGTCTTTTCCCGGGCTAGTGAGTGATAGGCAGTACAATACTCTGGTGATGCAGGGCAATGGCAGGGAGCCACAGCTCCCAGTCCGGCATGCCATCGGGAAGGTAAACAACCGAGACTCTACAGTGTAGAGTGTTAGATGATTCTGCCCAACTGTAGGCTAATGTAAGTGTTCTGACCACATGTGAGGTCGGCTAGGCTAAGCTATGGTGTTTGGTAGGTTACATGTATTAAATGAATACAGTATTTTCAAGTTACAGTGATTTTATTGGGGTGTAACTCCATTGTAAGTCAAAGAGCAACTATACTTAGGGAATTCCTTTTCATCATCTTTATCAAAGTGCCAATTCACTTGGGAAGGAACATAAAATTTTGAAAAAAATGATTTAAATTATGAAGCAAATAAGGCAGAATAGTAACATTTAAATCTGATGGTAAAGATATGGGTGTCTGTTAAATTAATTTCTAAATGCTTCCTTTTGCTTGAGGTTTGTTTTTTAAAACTATTTTTTTAAGAGTCATATCATTATGGGACATTTTGGGTATTTTCATTTATTGTTGTTCTCATCCTGATTATAAATGTGGCTAAATGCTCAAAACAAACAAAATTTGAAAATCTGAGCTGCTAAAATATTGATCGCTGTTAAAAATGAACGAGAAAAGTTCTCCTATGCTTCGTTCTTGGTTACCATCTATAAGGAATTTCTCTACTCCACACACCCTTTCTGGCTGCTCTCCATCCCTCTCAGCCTCCCAGGAGCTGACAGAACATGGACATCTCCCTTGATCCTGACACCTTTCAGTCTTCAAACATGGGCCTGAGCATTTCCTAGGACCAAGTGATACTAGTCTGGAACCGAGTGGAATGGCTTTAGAGGCAAGAGACTGCTTGAGCTTTGGGGCATCTACAGAGTGGAAAAGTGCAGAAAAGGGCTGAAATAAAAGACTGTATTACGATGGCGGTTTCCCCCGGCCCAGTCACCTGTGGAGAGGTTCTGAACGACGCCGGCCGCCGCTGTGTGGAAGATGATGTCAGCACCATCGTTCAGGTAGTGCAGGTTATTGCGACAGTCAAATCCTCTGTAGCCAAACACGTGGTCGAGAGCCAGCTCCTACACTCCCACACAAAGATGAAAGCGGCCCTTAGAGGAACAAGCCCCCACCTCAGGAACAGCCACATGTCTCGTGAAAACTGCATGGCTGGTGAAACAAGCAACCACTCACTGAAAACATTTGCTTCTTGACAAGCTGAGGATAAAATGCAGCCCTTTCTTTAGTTGCCCGAAATGCTAGAGGCACATGCTAACACATAGAATTACAGTGAGTTTTCTAAATAAATGAGATTCCCTTCCCAGGTCCTCAGGTGAGCCAACGCCTGCAGATTTGATGCTTTCTAAAGGTTACCTAGACATTTTCTGTCTGCACCTTGGCAGGCACTCTTTAGGTGAACTGAATGGTGGCTCAGAGATTTGCTCTGATTCTCACGGATGCAGCTGGGCATGGCAGAGCCGAATAGCGAGGCAAATGCCATGTTCATTCTGTTGCTAGGTGGTTGCCCTATAAAGTTTCTACACAATTTGCATTTTTTTTTCTTCAACAACTAGATACTATTATGGGTTTATAGTCTTTCTCTTCTTCCTGTCTTGTCTTCCATGACAAAGAGCAGTGGCTGATTCAGATCAGATCAGCTCTTAATTCCATTTGACACACATGTATTGTTGGCAGCTCTTCTGTGCCAGGCACTATGCTGCTTGGTGGGATACAAGAAGATGAGGGCCCCTTTTCTCTAGGTTCCCTGACTCTAGCCTTTTCTCTCTCCAATCATCAATTGCAAACATTAGATTAATTCTCCTAAAACACCACACTACCTCTTTACTCAACAACATTCACTGACTTTTGCTGCCTAAGAGATAAAGCCCAAATTCGAGGTGGCATAATTAGCCCCTACTCTCACATCACCTGTACCCCTTGGTCAAGCTGACTTGTCTATTTAGCCCGCATATCATGAACTTCCTATCTTTATAATTTTGCTTTTTAAAATATCTCTCGACTGGAAAGTGCTTCTCCTTTAAACTTATTGTCTGCCCAACCTCAGTCTCCCCCACCCCCATCCCTCGCCCCCATGTGTTTGCCAGAAATTGTGGGTATAATATGTGACCCCCAAGTTCTAGCGGACAACTGACTCAAGCTGGGCCATGAGATGGCTTCTCTCGAGAATTTAGAATTAGGGACACTGAGAGGCCCAGCTGTTTAGCTGAGGAGATATAAACTCAGGTGCTAGGTAGCATCCATAGTCTACCAAAGTAGTTCAAAAAGTCCGCACAAAAAGGATAGACTGCATCAGACACACATACGGCCCTGTAGGGCAGAAAAAGGCACCATCTTGGCTTAAATGGCTTTTCAACTCTTGGGTCTTGTCTTTACTGAAGCTCAGCTGCATTTCCTGACCTATGCTGCGCTCCATGAAAAATCCCAATAAAAACACATTTACCAATAAAAAATTTGAAGATGGATTTTTCTGGCCTCAGTGAGTTCACAGTCTAGGAGGGGAGACAGATGAGCAAGAACTAACAGCAGAAGAGTGCGTGACAAGGGCTGTGGAGGGAGAGTTTTGGAGGGAGTGCAGGAGGGTTTAGAGTGAAGAGCATTAGGGAGGGTTGCAAAGAAGATGCCAGAAAAGGCTTAGAAGGACGAGGGTGTGGGGTGGGAAGAGGAGGAAGTTCTAATTAGAAGGAATGAAAACACAGGGGCTTGAAAGTCCAAGGCAGCTTCAGAGACTTTTAAGTAATGGGTTTGGGGTTGGAGATTGGAGTTGCGGTGGAGAATCACAGGAGATAAGCTTGGAAGGTAGCTCCTGGGTAAAGTCTTGACACCATGCACTTGAACTTGGAAATCTCTTGGGTCTTAATGCTGGAGTAAGACGTGAAGAGTTATATTTCAAAGAGCTAACTCTGCGGGCAGCAGGGCATGTGTCAGAGAGGGACAGGGGAGTCTGAAGGCAGAACGAACTGTTGGGAGGCCGCTCTTCAAAAACAGCAGGTTCATCAGAGCTGTAATCCTCAGATCTCAACAACCAAGTTTACATCCCTGTCCACTTTCTGGCTTGGTGATCTTGGGTCTCTTAACTTCCTTGAGGTAATGTCCGCATTTGCAAAATGGAAACAATAATAGTACCTACCTCATAGGTGTAAATAAAATACTTCACGGGAAGTATGTAGCATAGTACCTGGCACATGGTAACTGCTCAGATATTAGAGACAGTGAATAAGTAAGTTCGTTCTCTCTCCTTCCCCGCTTCCTCTCCCCGTGAGTGGTACTCGTCATGGGAAAAAGCCAGGTTTGAAGGACATGAGATATTTTTGAGTTAGTACTGATAGGACTCAGTGGCAGGGCTGAAGGAATGTGACCCAGGGGATATGATTTTTGGTCACTGGGACAGGGGACACAACGCTATGCAGAAGGGAGAGGGAATGAGAGCCATCAGATCCATTCAGGTTCATACGAAGGCATCCGCGAGACATGTGGATGGTGACATCCACCAGGCCTAAGAACATCAATGTCAGACTAAAAGCAAAACCGTTTAACCTCCTCACCTCCACCAGTTTCTTTTTTTTGGTGATGTTGTTCTTCTGGAGTTTCTCAGGCTGGGGTGCTGCTCTGCTAACAGGTGGTCTGGAACAGAGAGTGGCCAGAAGCAGCACAGTGTTGAACAAAAAGCAGCAACAATGCTTGCCCGGCACAGTCAGCTGAGGCCAGTGCCAGGCTCCCATCTCTCTCCTCCCCGACTCAGAGGACCCTCCATCTGGGTTTCTTCTGTCCTACCCCTCTCCCCTCTGCCCTGGCAAGAAAAGTAGCTTCTGACATTAAGGGTCCTGCATGGTGGGACCTGGATTGACAGGCGTCGAGGTGGGCTTCCGCACCACACATAAGCCGTGGTCGTCAGGAACCAGTCCCTTACCCCCGAGAGCCAGAAAGAACACATGAGCCAGAGGGGCTGATTTTAAAACCAAAGAGGAGCCTAAGCACGAGAAGGAAAAAGCCATACTTGTCAGCATTGTTCGGAATGAGGCAGGGAAAGACCACGGCATGGTGCGAAGTGGGACTTATCAGCCAGGCTTGGGAACGGGCCCTGACGGCCACGTGCCCAGGTCATTGTTGCTGCCCAAAGGGACAGTAGGAAGCAAAGGGATAAAAGACAGAGAGAACTCCCACTGTGCCCTATCCCTCCAGGTTACAGTCCCTGCTAAACTGCTACTGTCATACTGCGGGTTGCTTTTCCTTCTCAGTTGTAGTGATCTGGGCTTTGACATTTAATTAGGAGACTTTACAGTGGGTAAGCCTTCATGGATTCTCATATGAGTCAGCTAGTTTTGGGTAACATGAGGTTCCCTTAAATCAACTTCCAGGAGTTTAGGAAACCCCAGCCCCCGCCACATGTTCCAAATCCATCAGTTATTGCTCTTGGGTTATGCAAAGAGAAAGGATTACCTTGATCCCCTTGTAAGCAGCAAACAAAGCCAAGTGAGAAACTTAGTACAGTTTAGAGCCGCGTTAGCAAGCACCTCATTCATGCACAAGCATTTTCCAAGTGAACAGACATTCCTGTGTGGCACAAACCATGCTTCCCGAGCATGCCAGCAAAGAACTAAAACAGAAATGAAAGAGTGCACCAGTCTACAAATTCAGAAAGCTCATACCCTGGCGTCTCTGGGCAAACTCTGCACTAAAGCGCCTACAGAATAGGGAGAAAAAAGGAAGCCTTGTCAATGCTTCCCGCACACTGTCTGTGATTTCGTGAATGCGCCTGGGGACTCTGCTTATTTTAGAGTGTGCTGGGGAGAAACTTGTTGTCAGAAGAACAATCATATCCTCCTGGATGTTGCTGGTAGTTATGCACAATGGATGCTTTGTTTCCGAATCAAGTTCAACTCATAATTTAGCCTAATAACTGCCAGTGTTTCTTGGTAGGGCAGCTTGCCTGCTGGAACGGCTTGCATTTTTGTGCTGGGGTAAAACAAGGTACCTTTATTTTCTCAGAAACTCTTCAGTCAAAACATGTTATGTAATCATAAGTGATCACTGGACCAAATGATATTATAATCACCACCGAAAAAGGGGTAGAGAGAGCACATCTCTGCAAACCCCCCGCTGACATCATAGCGGCCGAATTGAGCAAAACTGGGAGGCCGGGGACATGCCGGTTCTCACGATTAGACACTTCCTTCAGATTAATGATCACTTCCCAGGATATCGGCTCTTTCTTCTGTTTTAGTGGGACTTGCAAATGAAATCCGTGGGTTTCTTCTTTCACCTTAGAACGTTTACGTGTATGACAAAAGCAAGCCACGGTCTGAGAAGGGAGCAAGGGGGCGGACGCTCGGACTACAGCGTGGTTCGTAAGGCAGAATTTGAGATTAAACGTAGGGCTTGTTTTCGGGGTACACGCAGGTTGTATAATATGTCACATATTATACAGTGGATATAGAGTATGCATACAAGCACAAACATTGTGTATTAATGTATACACAAGATTGTATATATATATACACATATATACGTAGAGGCGATCCAATGCTTTTTTCACCTTGATTTTCAGTCAAAAACTGAAAAGTAAAGCAATCTCAGAATGTTTCTTTCATAGTTCACAAGCATACATTAACAGCTGTGTTGCTTCAAAACTAAAGATGAGACGGGCAAAAGGAAGAAACCAGCATCGTGGCAAATTCAGCGGGTTATAAGTATAGACCCTTTGCGGTGGTGGATTCTGCATGAACACTTAGTACTGGATGCTCATCAAACACCTGGGCTTTTGCAGAGCGCTATGAATACTTACTTGACAATTCCCTGCCTCCAAAGGAAAGCAAGTTAAAACACAATACAAGTATTAAAGGCTTCTTTCCAGGCATCTATAAACAGTGTTTGTAACATCACGCATGAGAGGGACTGCTAAAAATTTCAAATACGGCCAAACGCTGGAGGTTTCGCATTTTTCGGGGGATCTAAATTCTATCAGATCCAGATTCCACTGGAAATGTGACTCTGAAAAGCTTTGCTGAGGTGGGAAAGAGCAGAGTGCATGAGAACATTCACTCACTTTTCAGTCCAATAAACTCTTCATAGCCGGTTGTTCCTAGCTGGCACACAGGATGGGAGAGCGAGAAGAGTAGTGAGTACCATTGGGAAACAGCAGGGAGATTCAGAAAAGTTAAGAGCTGGGAAGCTGAAGGGGTGGGGATTGGAGGTGGAAGCAGCAGACACACAAAGGGGCTTCCGGGGGCAAGTGGGGTTTTCAAGAGACTCAGGTAAACAAAGGAACAGAGAATTTCCATTGGGCAAGAAACTTAAGGAGGGAGCCTGGCAAGAGAGTAAACAAACTGTATAATCAGGAGAGAGGACGATGGTCAGGCTTGAGGTTGGAGAGAGAGGAGAGAAGCTTTGCCAAGGAAGAGAGGGTGAGGGCAGGAAACCCAAGCAGAGGCCTGTGAACTCAAGCATGTGACTGGGAGTTAAGTAACGAGGTTGCCCTATTCTTGCCCAGTGCTGGGTGCAGACTGCTGGAGATCCACTCCATACTTGTGTGTAGAGTGACTACCTTGTACCCACATGTCCCCTATGGAAAAAAGCACATTCTGTGGGCAGAGAAGGAACATGTATGGTCAATCCCTGCTGTAACCCCATTGTCCAGCAGTTAGGCTGCTGAAGAGAAAGTTTAGACTCACTTAAAGGTGTGTGGAGCGTCACCCTGACACAGGTTCTCGACCCACAAAAGGCCGCCAAGGGTGGCCAGGGCCCAGGGATTTGCCCATTCTCGCCTCCTTCTGGGGTGCTGGGCTGTTCCTAATTCCCAAATCCAATCCATTCTCCTGGAGCTGAAGAGCAAGGGGTGGGGCAGAGCACACGATGACCCGAGATGCGCAATAGAGAGTTCAGAGCCACGGCTCTCGGGAAGCTTCCAAAATGACTGAGGCGGTTATGAAAATCAGTCACAGCCCCAGATGAGCACAGTGTGACAGCCAACTCGTACGGCTCGGAAAGCCAGTGAGAAAGTTGTTCCAAGCAGCTTCTATAAAGATGGGTGTGCATGTGGAGAAACTCAGCTACATTTAGCCAAGAAACACAAGTTTGAAATTGTATTTAATGTTGTCAGACACTGTTCAAAGTGTCCTTGGAGGAAACGTAGTTTTTTGCAGATTCCAAAATGTGCTATAAAATGCTCCAAGAGTTTTCAAAATATCTTGGGAAACCAAACTACTCTCGATCCAGGTTTTAGGTGAGAACCAGATAATCTACAGACTGTTTTAGAATTGTCTTCAAACAAGATCTCTCACCCCATGGATGGGCTTCAGGGCCTCAGTGAACCCCGTGACATTTGTGCCAAACTGCGTTTGCACATGTGCATTTTTCTGGGGGGTGGGGGGCAGGAGGCATGTTTTAATCAGATTTTCAAAGATTTCTAAGAGAGAGAGTGAGATATTAAGAACTGATGCTCTCTAAGATAAGTCCAGGTTTAAGAAAAGTCTTCAAAACCACGGGGGTTCTCTGTTATCAAAATAAAGGGAACTGGATTTTTTAAATTGTATTCCTGCGTCTTCCAGCACCATCAGCAGAGCTGCTCGGTGGTGAAGTGGAGTGGAAGGGAGTCAGGCAGGACGACTACGGGACGCCCCTAGAGAAGCCCACCACCTTAAAAATGCTCGACTGAAGCCTGTAACACAACCCCCCTGGGGGATATAGATCCAGACGTGGCCATTTTAGGTGAATATCAACTTATCTGGGTGAAAACTTGAGGTCATAAAGGATGGAGTGGAGGCAACCATGAGTAAGGTGGGCAGACTGCTGAAGAGGCCACTGCAGTAATCCAAGGAGTGGGAGTGGACGATGAAGATTTTGGCCTATACAGCGGTTGTGGAGACAGAAACGAGTGAATATTTAAAGAAATACGGGTAAAGTCTCTGTAACTGTTTAGCTCTAGTAAAGAAAGAAGGAAGAACAATTCAAGTGCAGTCCCAGTTTTCTGCTTGGGTGTCTGGGTGGATGGTGGCATCACTGACTGAAACAGGAGATCTAAGATGAAAGATCTAAGATCTAAGTTCAACTTTGGCATGTCGCACTTTGGCCATCTGTGGGCTGGCCATACTAGTTGGAAGTTCGACTGAGAAGTGAGACTCAGAGATATGACTGGGAATCATCCCCTAGTTGGTGGAATATATGAGATTCGTCAAGAGGAAGGTGTAGGGTAAAAAGAAAGAACGGCCAAAGGCGAAACCCTGAGGACCAAAAGCATGCGAGGGGCTGGAAGAGGAAGCAGAGATGGGCCCTGGGGAGAAATGGTTGGAGAGGCAGGGGAGGGGCCAGGAGGGATTGTTTCCAAAAGAGAAGTGAGGGAAGAATGCCTAACTTCACTGTCTGGTATGGTAGCCACTGGCCACATGTGGCTACTGAGCACTTGAATTGTGGCCGGTCCAAATGAAGATGTGCTTCAGCTGGAAAATATACACCAGATTTTGAAGACCTAATATAACTAATTTTTTTAAAAAAGAATATAAAATGACTTATTAATAATTTTTATATTGATTACATGTTAAAATAATATTTTAAAATATACTGAGTTAAATAAAACACATTAAAATTAATTTCACCATCTCTTTTAACTTCTTTAATGTGGCTACTAG